ATATTTTTTTGGTTGTCTTCAAATGTTGTAACCAATTTGCTGATTGATTAAGACTTGATCAAATACAACGTGATGAAAAACCAATTACAAAATTTTTCAATGATATGTCCATTAATCTTGTACTTCAGTAAATCAGTTAAATACTTTTTTTATTTCATACGTTCATTGATCATTTGATTGCAAATATCTAAAAAATTGTTTTAATTTTTATTATTTTTTTAAGTTTTGCTCCGCACAGTCTGAACACCTCCGTCTGATTTCAATTTTTTAACGAAACTAAACGTGGTGGATGGAAAAGAAAAACTTGATTTAATATTTTTTTCCATTCGTTTTGTTTTATGCGATAGTAAAATAAAGCCGTGAATGTGTAAGTGAGTGAGATGCTTAAATAAGACAGAATATTTTTGTATAATGTGGGCAATTCACTCACTCTCTTTCTACCTTAATGCTCTCTCATTTGTGAATATGAATTTTTAAAGTTTGTCGTTGTATAATCGTGTTTATTAACATTTTAAGATTGATTAAATTTAATCAGTTTATGACTGTATCGAAATTGAATCACGTAAAATCACTTGATGTATTGAAATCATATGAGTGAATTGTGATAAGCGACACGTGAGTTTTCCACATGATTCACTATAGATATCGACGTATCTACTTACGCTAATGTTAACACACTACATTTCATTTCGTTATCAAGGCGCTTGATTTAATAACCTAATGGTGTTTATGAGTCAACATATTCATTAAAGAATTTTTACAACTCAGTTGAAATTTATTAATAAGAAGTGCCGACATTGGCGCCAAAAGTGGTTTTTCCCCTGAATTTAAAAAGCAAGGAAAAGCAAAAATTCAGAAAATTTGTAAAAAGAAAACATCAATTAAATTTAATAAAATACCTTGGAGTGAATGCCATGAATCATGTTCGTCAATAAAGCGAGTGCTTCAAAGGAAATTCCCAGAAAATAAAGACATTGTGACAATTTTCGAGAACCAGTTCCGAGAGATGTTAACAACTTTGACGTTGCATTCATTCTCATTACTGAAGTTAATTAAGTAAAATGATTAAAATTATCATCTTTTTATTCAACTGAGTAATTAATTCCGTTTCATTTAAGCAAAAAAAATGCAGCTTCATATGCTGCACTGAACATTCTTAAAATACATCTCCAACATTCAAATCCACATGTTGTATGATATTTTCATATTCAGAAACTTCATGCTTAATGTTTAATGTCCATGGACCATACTGAATTGAGTTATAAGTAAGGAAAGAAATGAAATGAGGCAAAACACGAAAAAACGATAATCGACATGAAATTCTTGGGAGTACTGGTAATAAATTTTATGCTGTTTTCATGAGAAACACATGTGTAACAGCATGACAACCTGAATGGAGAGTTAAATGGATTAAACAAATGATGAGTTAGAGAAGAAAGAGAAAAGCAGATACTTAGTGAACCTTTTTATCTGTACAAAAAAAGGAATCTTTGAATTTGTTGTTTTAACAACAGACAATTTTTTTAAGTTCCCATAATGTTGGTTTTGCTTCATAAATGCTTGTCGTATAAGAATTGTACAAAAGCTTATGAAATGTAAACATCAATCCGGATGGATGTCGTTAAGAAACATTTTCGGATTATTCGAATATCCAGCTAGAGCTCCTAAGAATACAAAATAAGTGTTTGAAAAGTGAATACTCTGTAATTTTTTTTTTAATGTTCCTTCGTTTCTGAGTTTCTATACGATACTTAATCGTACAAAAACTGTGATGAAAAATTCAACACTCTTATTTCAGAAGGATTTAGATATGTTCATAAATAATTCTAAAATATTTCATTATTCGATCTGATTTCGATGGGTTTTCAATAAATCAAAAAAGAGAGAAGAAAAACATTAAAAGCGTGCATGAGAATAAATTTAGCTAGAAATAAAATAAAAAGAAAGGCAAATATTTTCTACCGCATTTTTCTCATATTGAATCATTTGAAATCCATCCAAAAAAGAGCGAATGCCGGTAAAAATTAGTGAGTCAGATGTTCTTACGCTAACTTATTGATTTTAAAGCGAAAAAAAATATTAACGTAGCCGAATCACCGCAATGATATAACAAAAAAAAGTATTCAAAAGAACTAAAAATATTCCTGACCTTCATCAACTTGTTACACAATAGGAAAAACCTCCGCTGCGAGCAATGAGATCCGCGAGTAAAATTTAACTGAGAAGCACAAAGTAGAGTTAATTAGTTCCTGATCTTTTGTTTAGGGGATTTCTCTTCATCGTACTCAAGAACTTCAACCTTTTATGACGTTATTTTCTTTCCTTTTCGTGTTATTTAGGTTGTCATTCTGTTGAATTGTCAATTATATCTGCATGCAAAATGCTGAACCGCTAGGTTATATAATTTTTTTAAAATTAACTACTGGATTTCCCAATATTTATTTTTTGATTAAAACCAGAAATTATCGACAGGAAACAGGGACAATCTTCTTATGTTTAAATATTTTTTTGTCACAATTTCATTTGGGGAAATTCCATTTGAAAAAACTTTATCTGGATTAATGTGGTTTTGGTTGCATGATAAAAGAATAATTGAATTTTTATTTTGATTCACATTATGAAAGACAATGAGAGTAATTTACTTTTGGGATTCCACACAATTTTCGCTTGAACGCGTATCTAATTTTTGGCACAGATTTTTCGATAACCTTCAATCTCTAAATAATTGATGAAAATTCCAGTTAAAACCTGGTAGGTTTCTTTCTTTAAAAACCCATTGAGGGGAATTTATCAAACCTGATTATAGCGTCAATTAGCAAGAAGAAATGTTGAGACTTTTTTACTATCCGTCAGAGCATTACAAATCAGTTTTACAAGATAAATGAGTAATGAACTGTAATAAATCTGCCGCTACGCTTTATTTAATTTGATTTATGTGTTCAAATTCAAAGTATTTTGTAATAGCTTATTGAAGTGCTAAATTATGACTTTGTGGGTTTTTCTTATTAAGTTTTAAGAATCTTTTTTGCTATCTAGGCTTTTAAAAACTCCTTGACTGTAATTGAAGAATGAAAAGACAAACAAACAGACACTTAACAAGTCTTTTAGGATAATTAAAATTTGTTGGAATCCATGAGGTTCCATCATCATCAACTTGATGAGAAAGCGTTTTGATTTAAGAAGGATTGACACTGAATTGACATTGAGGATAATAATAAAAATAATATCTTCTCGTCCTTTTTGAAGTGTTAAAGCGAGTGAAAATTTCTATTCTATGTCTGTTGTTAGAAAACATTTTAATGACTTTATTGCATTTTTTATTTACTCTTCGTCTTTATTGCCTTTTATGCAAGTAGCAGGTACAAAAATGAAACAAGAAAGTTTAACTATTCGAATGAGTTGGCGAGAAAAATTTGCTACGGAAGATTTATTGGCATCGTTACGCACATCCTTTCATCACGTAGTTTCATTAGAAAATTGATACTTTTCACTTCAAATGAAACATTGGAAAGCGGAAAGGGTAAACGTATTTTAAAAATGTCTGTCATTATAAAATGAACCTTGAAAATAAGATTAAATAGACATTGAAGTTGATGTATAAAATCAAAAATAATTTAACAATTTGGGTTATTATTATTCAGCAAACGATGTTCATGAAATTTATGCTTGAAAAGAGCAAGAGTTGCTATCAGTCATTGTCCTCTTAATATGTTTGATATTTATTTTTTTCGCTGCAGAGAATGACTTGGTAATCGTTTTAAAAAATCACTTGAACCTTCTTTCACATTCATAACATGCAATGCTGATACAATTGATTGAAAGATAATATCAACAATAATCTTCAGTAATATATTTACAAATTTGCAATATGACTGAACAATTATTTCCTAGTAAACTCCAACATCCTCATTAAAGTTAATTAGATACTTATCTCTCTTAAATTAGATGCATGCATTTTGGTTGAAAATAGAATACCGTACATGATAACTTAATATGTGACAAGAAAGTTGTTCATATTTTAAAAGGAAAAGCTTCATGATTTGTGTTTTACAAGTTGCACAACTTTCTAAATTTATCAAATTAGGTAAATGAAAGTTATGCAACTTCTGAAACACTGAAAAGTCTCCATTTCCCCTTCCAATTGTTTCTTCTTCAACATTGTAACTTACAGGTAGATAACTACGTGAAATGATGAGAAGTATGAGCAGAACAAACTCACAACACTTATACCATGAAAAACTTATTAAAGAATGAGGTGAATGAGAGAACTAAATAGCAAAATATCGCCGAAAAACAGTTCGTCTGTTCACTTGTGTTGAGACTTGAGACGGTGAAAAAGAGTTGTTCATCATTTATTTCGCTAAAAATCAATGAAAACGAAGTTTTTAAAACAATCACTGGATTCAGAATCAACAAGTTGTGCTAATTAATAAATTTAAAAGTTTTTCTGAATAATCGAAAAATTTAATTCGACAGTGACGTTTCATGTTGTATTAAAAGTTCAGATTAAATAAAGACAATAAAATTTAATTAAAGAAGATGTTTTTTGTGTGTTATTCTTCTGGTCGAGATAATCAAATCAGATCTCGAATTGTTTCCATTTGAAATTCCCAAGTTTCTCAAGTTCATTGTTCATTATAATTAATCTTAGATGAATGAATTGAGAAGAAAAAAAATTTAAACGTTTGGAGAAAACGTTTTGAAGCAGAAAATTTCACTCAATGAAAGACAAGTGCGACTCTTAAAAATGAAATAAGTTGCAGACGCTTGTGTAGAGAGGTTTATGTGAAACGTAGAGATCTATGAAAAGTGTAGATGACATATGAGCTTGAAATAATTCATTCACTTGGAAGCTTGTTTCAGAGAAAACAAGTTGAAGTTTATTAGACACACAGTGAAAATTTCTCAAGAGACATTCATCAGTTAAATCGAGAATGGAAGATTTAATTTAAGACGTGAAGTTTAGGAAGATATGTAGCTGAATGGTCTTTCAACAAAAAAATAGTTTTACTTACACATTGCTGTGTCCTCAAATGCCAATTAGTGATCAATTAGCAAAACTCCATTCAGTAAATGAAATTTAGTCAGAAACAAGTTTGTGCTGTTGTGATGAATATTTAAAGTCTGTTTCAAGTTTGTTTCACAAAACCATATAAATTTAATAAATAGTCATGTCGGATCCCGGAATACTCTGCATCCAGCATTGTAATGCAAGAATATTTTCATTCACACTTCCTGAGAAGTGTCCGCTTTGTCATAACAAAATTCTTAATGAGAGAAACAATTTCGGCCTCATGCCATTTCGGTAAATTATATACAAATGAAACATGATTTTAATTTGCTCATTTTACTCTAATTATACTCATTATGTTTGCTTCCTTCGTGATTTTTGCTCTTTTCAGATTACCATATCCATTTGTTAGAGCCACCCAAGCACAAGCTGCTGTGATTCTCCGACCAACTAATGGAGACTTTTTAAAGTATGTTCCTTAAAATGTTTTTTTGCTAACAAGTTTGATGTTCTTCTTTAATATTTTTTTTTTTTTTGAATCACGGAACTTTTATTAAAGTTTAATTAATTTTAGTTTTAAAATTTTCAAGTACTTTGAACTAATTTCTTAATTTTATTCAGAAATAAACAGTTTAGGCATTGTTTCTTATATTAGATAGTTGTGTTAATTACTCTTTTAGAAAGAAACAGGAGAACATGAAATTTGATCAATTTTTAACTTATCAGTTGAACCAGAAACAACACGAGAAACAATAAAAAAAATTGACGTCATTGAGGTGAACAAATGCTAACTGTGTTTATTCCACACAATTTAATTCAAACATAAAATTAAATATTAGTGAAGTAACCAGCTGCAAGGTTCTTTAAATTAATTTGGAACTTGTGCGAATATACTTCTTTAACAGTGACTACAATAATAACACCGACCTTCATATTGCTGTAACAACATCACAGGGTGTCATTGTAGAATTTGATAGACACGGGCTGAGACAGCATGAATCACATGATGAAAATAGCTCATGGGAACAAAGTCTTGTGGTTACAAATGTATCTGAAGCATGGTGGGATTATTGGGACGAAATTCTTTCAAAAGTATTTGTGAAATTTTGTTCAAAATATTTTCAGACAGGAACATTCTTAAAATTTTTGTAAATTTTTTAGATATGCAAACTTACAAAGTGGTCGGCAGCATCGTATAAAAAGGATTCACATAATTGCTATTCATTCGTACTGACATTCCTACAGTCTATCAATCATGGAGAATTAAGTCGTGTAGCTTGTAACAGGTGAGAAAATTTCATAAATTTATTAAACTGTTAATAGCTCGTGTTTCAAAAACCATTAAAAACAATTTTCAGAACACTTTTTTGTGAACGCTTCATATGTCCCAGGACAGTTGTAGCTGGAAAATATATTAGCCTTTATCGGAAGATACGCGACCAGGGGCATTCCATTCATCCATTGCAAAACGAAAAAACAACATTAAATAAAAAAGCGGATAGCAGCACAATGGCTAACAGTACCACGCTTTTGAAGCAATAAATTGGAATTCATCGCCAGCAAGTATCGATGTTCACTTTTTTTCTGTTAAAATATGTGAAGCAACATGAGCGTAAAAAGGGCTTCTTTATAAATAAAGCTATTGAAATTTGATCCTGTTCTTTATTTATTCTGCTATTTTTGTCGATAAGTGTCCTAACATGCTTGTTAGTCTAGATGATGTTATCTGCCCATTGATAAATACTTGGCAAAATATCTAAATTTTGTTTTTTACAGATAATAAATGCCATTTTTGTAATCTCCAAGTTACTAGAAGAACGATTTCAGTGATTATTCAAACAGCAATGTGAAAGTTTCAATTGACTTGAAAGATCTCTAAAAGACTTATAAATAAGCTTTAGAATAAATTTAAATCTTTTCATTACAACAATTGATGTAGGACAGAAAATGTTTCTTATCAGCCTAACAACATGATTTGAATATTTTATGTAGATAGTTAAAATAAATATCTGCCATTGATCCAAAGAAAATATTTCTTATCATCAAACTAGTGTAAGTGAATTAAACCCTTGGAAAAACGCTTCCAGCGAATGTTGAAGCATTAATAGGAAAAACTCAATGGACTTGAAAGCTTCAGAAGAACTTAAATAAATTAGAAAACGTTCACTTCATCATGACGTAGATTATTAATTAAAATTTTAATTCAAACTTTCTTTAGGTAACTGAATGTGAAGAATAAATTTTAATCAGGAAATGTCTTTATCCAGATGTTAATGATTTAGGGAGAGAAAGCTTGAAAAGAATAAATATTTAATTTGCCATCACCCACATCAGTTTCTGTTCCCTTGGACAGACTTCATTGTAAATTTCTATGCACTTTTATTGCTAATCAAAAGAAATTTCAATTAAGTTGTCATCATGAGAAAGATTTGGTTTTAAATTTCTAAGGGTTTCAATGAATTAAAAATGTTTCGATAAGGTTTCTGGAGTGGTTCGTTTGATAAGAGAATTATTTCATATCAAAACAATTTGAAGTTCGTTAATATCGCCTTCCAACATTAGAGGAATGTTTGTTAGAAAGGAATTTTCTCAAGCATTGTAGATAAAACACTGAGATTTTAAATTTAATTAAAAGATAATTTTGTTAATAATTCAGCACTTGTTTAAATATTATTGTGAATAATGCAAAGTTATGTGACACGTTCAAACTTGTCTAACTTGAATGCAACCGAATCAGAACTATGAATGATCGTAATTAAAGCTTTCAAAATTTGCGCATGTCACAAAGCATTGTAACGAATATTCAACATTCAACAGTCGACGAAGCTTTTGTGCATTGAATAAAATCATGCTAAGAACAAATTTCTTTCTCGCTTCAAGCTCAGTTATACTCGAAGTGTCATCGTGATAAGGTGGAAAAAATTGATAAAAGATTAAATTTTAAAGAGAAAGCTTTTTTATCTGAATAGATAGTTTTTATCCAGTAGTTTTCCCAGCCAAGTTTCCACAATTTAATAAATGAAGAGAACAAAAAATTTACTGAAAATGAACTTAGATAAAAATTTTATGAATTGTTTCTAATAAAAGCAAGTGGACATTCCAAATCAAAATCATAAAAAGTGGATTGTTTTCTGATAAAACTTTTATCGTGAATTCGTGAAGAAAATGAATAGAATAAATTAGAATTAAATATTATTTACTGTTGGTTTTGTCACGTTCAAACAAATAGTCATAAAAATTTAAATCTAGAAAATTATTGTCGGATATATAAAAAGTCTTTTTGGTCATAGCTAAATCCGCAGGGATTTCATTGCATCAAATTTAATGGGGCTTAAATAAACGTTTGCTTTGTGCGAAAAGGAAAACGGGCAGAATGGTTAATCTGTCATTTTAATTCACAAGGTACACAATTGAAAATGATACAATGAAATAAAGGAATAATCGTTATCTAAACGGTTTTAAGAGTTCAGGACACAAAATTCAAATGGTTCCATAAATTTAAAATTAACTGTAAAACCTCCTACAAAGGAATGAACAAGAATTTTTCCACCCATAGTTCTGTAAAAAAGGGAAACAAAACGTTCAACTAAAACAAAAAGTTCAAATGTGCTATAAAAAGTGAAAAAATTGAAAATTTGTGAAAATTTCTTTTCGATATTTTATGCAATGAAAGAAAATAAATACACAAAAGGAAAAATATAAAAATTGCAATAAATGAAATATGTCATACGATTCAACAGACGATAGCGTTGGTTTTATAGATCGTGAAACATCATCCAATTATATTTTGGGGATGGAGAAGGAGGCAGAAAAAAATGACGTTTATAGACGTTACCTTACAAATTTTAACTACTCAACTAACAAAAATGTCAGTTTAATTATACAAAACTTTGCAAAAATGTATTTCACGGAGAACTCATCACTTCATGAAAATAATATGACGAAACATTTCATGGATGACGAACTCATTCCAGAGCCTTTGAATAGTAAATTTGATGTGTCAAATTCGGAAGTTGTTTTAATTATGTTGACAGTGATATATGTAATAATTTTTGTAACTGGCGTTCTTGGAAATGTGGTGACTTGCATTGTCATTGCAAGGAATAAGGCCATGCATACTGCAGTAAATTATTACTTGTTCAGTCTGGCTGTGTCGGATTTATTGCTGTTAGTATCGGGTAAGCTTTAATTAAAGAAAACCAACCAAAGACGGTCTTTGTCAAAGATTTTTAATTAATTATTTAAAACTTTATTTTTAAAGAGTTTTCTTTCATAAAGTACGTAAGCTGTAAATTGTTTAACACTGAAGACCTTTAAAAGTAAAAAAGGAAGAAAAAAACTTTATAACTTTCTTGGCAAGTCTTTAATAAAGTTCCTCATTATCGGAAATTAAGTGATGAACCATCATGACATTAAATTAGCGAAAAGATTCTAATAGAAATATTAATATAAATTTAAAGCATAAAGTTTCTATGCAAATATATGTGGGTTGATCCTTAGGCGCTTTAAGACATTTCCTCACAGTTAATGTTTGTACATTCAGACAAGGAAAAGTCAAGAAAAATCTTTACAATTTTTAATCAGATATTCCTTTTCAAATTATGTTCACTGAATTTTAATTTTGTGATGATAAATTCTTGAATTGTATTATAAGCAAAACCCATCTGTTGAGATATTATTAAATTGTAAATTATATTCTGTTAACTTAATAAAAATGTTTTTGAGCTTACAAGCCAAACAAAAGCCTTCCATTTAATTAACGTCAGGAAAAAAATTCCATTTTCTATGAATAATATAATTTGTAGAATGGAAATTTCGGTTTAGAAACGAGGCAAGAAATTGGTCGGAGACTCTCGTTTATTTAAAAGGTCAAGTCATAGATTAAATTAACAAGGACATGATGGATAAAATAATTAATATCTATAAAAATAATTAAAATGTTATGTATTGGAACAAGGAAAAGAGTTTGTGGGTGGATTCAATGTTATTTTATTACCGAATATTTTATACACATTTATTTGCAAAGAAATTACTTTCTTGAACGCGTAAACTGAAAGCTCTTTGTCGATGTAACAAAGCTTTGAAAGTTGTTCATATTTTATTCAAAGCATTCTAAGTAGGTACTTAATAGCTTTCAAGTTTTGGTCAATTTAAGAGAAAATTTATGGCTTGGAAAATAAGAAAAAAAAGAACATTAATGAAAGGTACTTAATTCATTGAATATTCTTTGATTATTCATCTTTGAAATTTCAACGAGAAACGTCTCTACTGAACATTCTATTTTTATTAAATTTGACGTGGTTGATAAATTAATGTTACAATCTCCTTCAATTTGAAACTCGATCTATCAATGTTTCTTTTATTTTCCCTTCTTCTATGCCCAAAATTAGGATCATAATAAATAATAATAAAAAAAGGATTGAAACATCTGAGTTTATGATGGTTTTTTTTCCTTCAAATTTTTCTTTGTGAATATAAATTTGTAGAGATATTTTAACAATAATTGTACAATCAACAGCTCTCCCAGATGAGGTCTACATGTTGTGGTTTCGTGAATATCCATTTGATGAAACAATTTGCAAATTCCATAAATTTGCGGCTGAAAGCTTTACTAATGCAACAGTACTAACAATAACAGCTTTTACGATAGAACGGTAAATCGTTGTTTAATTCTCATTTATTGTTCTTGAGAAATCACTCAAAAGCACTCAAAAGCTATTTTAAAATAGTATAATAAATCAATATTGGTGTTCCGGAAATGTATCAAAAGCGAGTTCATCAGTGAAGCCTTTAATTTTACACGATTTATTGGCTTACATTTTAAAATGTCAATGACAACACATATGGAATAAAATCCTATTCAGTCTACTTTTTCAATCACTATACTTGGAATGTTTATTACGCTATTTGCTAACATTTTATACCTAAGTAAATTGATTGAATTAAGTAATGGATTGGTTTATGGAAACTCTCGTATCTTTTACAACACAATGTGGTTCGTCGTCAAAGTTTTAATGTAATGAAGATACAGCGAAATGATATTAAAGAATTTTCAATGTTTTACATTAAGTGAAACTCAAAACTTCTTGTTTTAGGAAACTTTTCAATGATTGTTCAATTATTTCAATTTCTTCGATCCCCTCGAGCTTTTCCTATCGAGGTTTTGCTATAATTACGAAATTCAATATTATATATTTATTAAATAGGTTTGGTTAAAAGTATCTATTTATAAACTTTTCATTTAATGCTTATTAACGGGCCAATAACGATCGATTCATGGAAAAGCCACTTAACGCCGTCTTAAAAGTTCTCTTTAAGAATATAGAAAAATGCTTCATATACATTAATTTTGATATCTCAATCTTTCATCTTGATTTTTTTGCTGAAAGGAAGTTTAGGATTAATTAATTTTTCTCACAATTTCATGGTTCTGCTGATTCAACATTAAATCCTAATGGAAATTTTTAAGACTTCTTCATAATAAATAAAATCATTTAGACAGACTGTTAAGTATCAAACACAATTTCCAATTTCTAGTTGGTAATTTATTAATCATCAGCTTTATTTCTAATATCATTTCAAATGAATTCCACCATTTTTGAAATTAATTAATTTTTTTTAATAGATATCTAGGTACTTATAAATCTAACATTGAAAAATAAATCATCTCCATTTATGTTTCCACAATGATTACCAGCAAAATCAAGGGAGATTGTATTGAGAAAAAGAATTTCTGAAAAGTAATTTGAGATGTTTAAGCAGTGTTTGTTCTTCTTGTTCAGACCTGTCGATAGCTATCGTACAAAACTGTCAGTATCTAACTTCTCTTCAAAGTTCATTCAACCATTTCGAAAATTGTTTCACATGATTTTGAGTGATTTCTTATCTTTTGCTGTATCCAACTGCTTTGAAACATTAAACATTATCAATTTTGTAACAGATATGTGGCAATATGTAAGCCTTTTCTATCCCACACGATGTCGAAATTGTCTCGAGCATATAAGTTCATATTGGTGAGTATTTTAAATGGTTGAAAACGTGAAGCATCATTAAAATCGTTGATTTCATTAAATACAGGTTATCTGGTTGATATCAATATGTTTGGCAGTGCCACAGGTCAGTTTTTTTCCCTTAAACATTTTATTAGCAACAATAAAGTTAATCAATACAAGTAATCCTTAATACACCTACAGACTCTGTTCACTCTTCATCTTGATGAGAATTTTTTAATCTGTGTACCAAAACAAGACTATAATCATCTATTTGTGGTGTCTACGATTTTTTTGTTCGTGATTCCAATGTCAATTATCACGATATTGTACGTTCTTATTGGCCTTCAATTGAGAAAATCTAAGATTGTTCAACGTGGTGCTGTGAACGGAAGCAGTGTACGTTTGAAGGTATGTAGGAAAGCATGTCAAGCTTTTTCAATAGCACGAATTGGAAATGTAATACGTGTTCATTGTGTGAATATTTTCTTCCTTTCAAATGACATCAATGCGTAAAGATTTGAATGAATGATTTCATACCTTCTCACATAAGTAGGAAAAGTTTCAAATTCAAAAATGTATTCATTAATTTTCTATATTTTCCTCATATATGAATATGTCTAGCAACATTACTAGAAAGTGAAAAACATTTTCTTGAAAGAACTTTTATTTTATCAAGTTCATCAATCAACGTGCCACACCCATTCTAATAAAATATAAATATTATGAATGAAAGGTCTAAATTGTCAACAACAATTTAATTTGAACATCACATACCAAATTTTTTTATGTTGAATTGCTGAAAGAAAATATTTAATGTTGATAACAATATTTGAAGAAAAGAAGTAAACAAAAGCATTAAATGTTTCGAGAAAGCAACAAAAACTCACTTTCAGCTTACAAATGTTTGAGTCTTTACATCCATTCCCTTGAGATATGTAATCAACATATCTAATTTATCGAAACTTTTGCTGTAATCTTTCATCGACTAATTTGAGGTTTTCATCTAAAGATTCCTTCGAATATAATGCCAGAGTTTCTTTCAATCTAAGGCGAAAGTCACAAACTTTTCTGTTGAATTCATTCATGGAAAAACGATGGAAAACATAGCCTAGCCATTTTGATTTACGCAGCACGTATTGAAAGCTTCTGATTGAAATGGGAAAAGTGGTTTCCTTCATATATCGCTTTTAGTTGTAAACAAAAAGTTTATGGTCAAGTTTCTCTCTCTATGTGTATCTATAATAAATTATTGTACTATCAATCATAATTAATAGTACGAAATTAACAGTGTTCACTCACCGTATGAGGAAAAGTTGGCTATTAACAACACATGGAGCAATAATTACTCATGTTGGAGTTCAAAACTATTTCAATCATTTAAAAAAAGAAAAATTCATTCATGAGGACATGAAAGTTTAAGTATGAAAAGCACTTTGGGGCTCTGAAAAATAAAATTCATTAATTAAGAGAATAGTATAAAAAAGTTTTTTTTTTTGTGTGAAATGAGCATAAAACATAAACAAATTGTTCTGAGCTTTTACAACTCAACTTGTGTAAGGCTAAACATTTATACATAAAAGTTGTTCGGTTTATTTGAGATTTACTTTTAAATAATAATTGTTTTTGTTTTTACTTTTTTTCAGAGAAAAATTTTCAAGAAGGCCACAAATCAGACTTTGGTGACGGTCAAATGTGAATCTCTTTATAATGAAGCTTTATTACAAAACTCGAGTGATGGCAGTAAAAATAATTTCATTGATCATGAATCAATCATCCCAGAAGATGGACGAATAAACTATTCACATCGTGGACCAGCACATTTACATGGATCACGTCACGTCGTTAATATGTTGGGTATGCAATTATGATATCATTTATTGATTGAGAAATATTCGAATTACACAATAATTATGAAGACATTTAATTAATTATCGACATCATAAAACCGATGGAAGCTAATGCACACAATATTAAATATGTTGAATTTTATTTATTTATTAATTTGCTTTTTAAACGAAAAAATATCTAATTACTCACGCTTTCATTCTAGTTGTGGTTGTGATTGCGTTTTTCCTGTGCTGGTGTCCATTTCATGTTCAAAGAATTGTATTCACTTACATTGAACATGGTGCTATTGATCAAAATTTGTCGTTCAGCATCAATACAATATCAGGCGTCTTGTTTTTTGTGTCAACGTGTATCAATCCTTTTCTCTACAATATTATGAGTAACAAGTTTCGTGAAGCATTCAAGGTAATTAGAGTCAATGTTAAAGAATTAATTGTTTAATATTTCTGAAAAGTTGTTTAAATGCGTAATTTTTAAATACAGTGAACTCTCGTTATAACATTTCTCTCGTTACAACATTCATTTCGAAAATAATTTCGAACGAAATCGCGTACAATATTTTCTCGTTACAACATTTCTCTCGTTATAACATCTAATGCTGTCAGTCCCTTCGAAAATGTTATAACGAGAGTTCACTGTATATTTAAGAAATTTAATACTCATGCAGGGATGAAGTCTCTTGTCATAAATATATATGATATATTAATGTAAATCATTTCATAAATTTCTTCTGCGTCGATAAACTTTAGCATAACATTCTTACAACGCATCAAGCATTGTCGATTTAAATGAGAAATTACGCATTTCATATTTACACGCTTATTTTCTTGCAAAATTTTCTAAACAACTTTCGAGATGTCGCATTTGGAATATTTAAATATATAAATATATTTAAGATTTCAACATTATGCAAAAGTCATCATACGATTTAAGATACGACAATAATAAAACAAGTTTAAAGTCCTAATTTTTTAATAAATTGCCAGTCTTTGTTTGTTTTTTAGGTTACCATTGCGAGTTATTTTTCTCGTTCATCCGACAATGATTCAATTAAAACGGGAAAGTTATTTCGTACAATATCACAACGTTCTTATTCATGCTCGTTAAATTCGACGTCTCTAAATACGTGCTCATCTGTATGTTCTATGCAACCTTTCAATCAAAGCCAACAGCTACCATTTCGATATTTTGATTCTGCAAGGGCTAGGAAACGTCCCTTGGTGGTTTCGTTCAAACGAATTCATAAAATGACGCCAACAAATCCTGATTCATGTAACTCTGTCTCAATATGCGATATACATAGAACTGATATACAATTAAAGGAACACAATGACAACAATGTGATGACAACGAGGATAAAGTCAAAGTACGGCGCAAATCCATCAAGACTTACAATGCACAGGCAAACCTGCAACAGTGAAGGTCAAACAACTTCAAACTTTCCTAGAACTTCTCGATTTGATTCGTTATATAGTGAGAAAGTGCTTGACCGTAATAATTCTGATAAAGGTTGTATCTTTCCTAAAGAAAAGTTTTATGGTAATGCCAAGCTTTTGTTAACCATTAATGATGACATTTTAAGAAAGACTGTTATTGATTGTGAAGATTGCTTTGACCATGACGGTAATATGAAGACGAATAGACTTAAGAACCTGCTACCTACACATCACCTCTTGATGGATAAGGTAGAGAACAACAAAAATAAATATTTTCGAAAAATTGAAATAGAAAGACGAAAAAGAAATGAGTCAATTTCATCGATAGCAACCGACGATAGCGAAATGATTGATGATTGCATACAAATTTGCAAAGCAAACGCATTAAGAAATAATTTCTTATCAAGACAAGAAGAAACTAGAAGTCGGTTAAAGCCAACAGCTTTTTTGAAAAGCACGGAACAAAATGGAAATGAAATTTCGGAAAATGAAACAGATCTGAAAGCTTTTGGTAAATTGAACAAAAGCTTATCAACTCCATCTATTTATCCATATGAAAGCTTTAAGGAGCAAGAAGACAATTATAAAGCTTTTAAAGAAATTCAGAAAAGTGTGTCTATGGTTAGAATTAAGAAAATTTAAATGTTTCTTCGTCATAAATAATTCAATTTGGAAATAATTGGAGTAAACACAATCGGAATGTTATTTTACCTAAAGTGCATTTATTTATTTTTTGAATGATGTTTGTATGAAAAGAAAAAAGAACAATAAAAAAATTTGAACAAAACTGTAAGAAATTTATAAAACAATTATCTAGATTGAGAATTTCTTTGATTCAAGATGAAACATTAAGTTTCATCAACTTTTCTTCTTTCTTGGAGAAGAAGAACAAAAATTGAAATTTGTTACGTCTTTGAAACTTAATCACGCCTAATTTATACGAAATTACTTTTTTTTAAATAGAAAATTCAAGGGCAAACTCAAATTTATGTATTGCGTGAAAGGCTAAATATTTTGATGAGAATGTTTAATTAATTTTGCTAAATTATCATATTCTAACTCTTTTAGAAAGTTGTTTTGGACGTGTACAGTTTAAATCCTAACAATGATAAAATTATGAAATCTTAAAGAGTTTGTTCTTAAATGTTTTTACTTTTAACATATCAACTTAAACATTTGATGTTTTGATGCAAACTAAAAGTAGGAAAGTTCAGTAACCATTTATTCTCCTGTTTGTTGATTATAGTTTAGAAGTTAGCCTCTGTGGAACATTTATAAAGATTAATTTACTTTCTCTAACTAGTCTTGTTATTCATCATGAAGCGACATGATTTCATTAACATTTTAGTTCCATTGTCAAGTCCCTTGAGTCTATGTGTGCATTCAGATGTGTCTGACTGTGATAGACTAAAAATAAATATTACATCTATTTCTGAAGTGAAAAGGATCGACCATGTAGAAGTTAATGTTTTCTTGAATATTAACAAGAATTAATGTAATGAATTCTTCGCTGTTAATTCCAGCTGCTCTCGCAACATTCCAAACATCTGCCAATTTCTCCCTACACATTAGAATGTTCTTGAAGCTTTAAATTTTTCCTTTTCTATTCTTTCAAAGAAAAAAAATCTTTTCATACCCAAATCATTTTCAGTAGCTTTTACATCCAAATCTAAACATGACACAATTGAAATTCATTCAAATAGAATAGAGATAGGATTAGCTTTAACCAACATTAATTGTCATGAAGCTAAATCGCAATAAATTCTGATGTAATCTTAGTAGAACAGAGGTAAGTGAATAAATAAATGTCACTTTTCTATCACATCTTGATTATATTTTTTTGTAATTGAAGAAACCATTATAAGTAGTCGTCCACATGCTGTTGAGTCTATAATTTACATGATTTTCCATAGAATCTTTCTAGTCATTTTTCAAATATGAAAAATTTGATAATGACTAAGAAATATGTGAAAATGTCATGATAGGAATTCTGATCTAGTCTAAACACAAGAGATAGACATTTTGAAATATTTCCTAAGAACGCCAAATTTACGAAGGATAAATACACATACAGAACAAAAGCTTTGGGTTTAATTTTGTAACTTCCCTATGGACCTAAAATTTTTGTTGCAACAAGTTGCTGTCAAAAACTGTTTTAAAACTTTCCTATGAAATCGAAAAGGAACAAATAGATACCAACCTTCAAATGTTAGTTATGTGTGGTGGAGCTTGAAATAACGATACAAAACGCCTAGCTGAATACATTACATACTCTTCTTCCTCGATGAATTTTCTGAAAAAGGTTTCCGATCTTTAATCCACTCATGAAAACGGTAAAGTGTATCCAACAATGTTAACTTCCATCATTTTCTCGGTGATTGTCCTTAACATTAGAGGCTTTGAAAAACTATAAAAAAGTTCTACACGACCTTACACTTTACGAAGCGTAATAAATATAAAAACTTTTAGCATTTCACTGTAGACTACGAAGCGTTTTTTTCTCTTTTCATTCAATACTGTGAAAAAGTTTTATGAGTTTCCGAACAATCTTTGTGTCAATTTTGGGTGAAACTTTTTCTTACGTTGAGGATCTTAATGCTTGTCGGTGGGCTGAAAAGTCGTCATTAATTTTTAAATTTTTTAATTCAATTTTTTCTTCCAGTATAAAAGAAAAACTTCACATTAATTCAGGAGATATGCTTCAGAAATGAAGTTGAATTGAATTGTTTTCTTGTGTCGAAAACATTATGAAATGTTTTCGCCTTAAGTTTAATGTTACCGAAAAACAAATGTAGGCAGTATCTAACAAAAACAATTCTGTAATTGTTACATTATTGTAAATGTGTGTGTGTGGGTGGACTCGAAATAATTCTCTGTTTGCAAAATAAATTATTTAAGCTGACATCTAAAAGTTTTAGACTTTTTTTAGGGAAAGTATGTCAAACAAAATTAGGCACAATGAAAGCTTTCTGGAATTTTAAAAGGGTGAAGTATTAAAATTGTAATTAGCACAAGAATACAATTACCACAATTGTTATCAAGTTAAATATTATTTCATTTCCTTTTTACTCATTTTCCATTTTTTACATCACACAAAACACTTTCTTCAACTGACATTTTTAAGAATTTTTTTTTGTGACTTCGCTTTATGATAAGTTTCCTAATAATTTCCTTGTGGCACAAGTCTTCTCAAAAGATGTGAAAAATTTTATAAATAAAGAAATTAATATAGAACAACTTAGGATTAAGATATTTTTATCTAGAGAATTTGTAATCATGAAATACATTCCTTAAAGTTTTTCTGTAAATAACCTTTACAAATTCAATTCAATTCTAATACTCATTTCAAGAGTAACAAAATCAACAACATTCCAGCAAAGTAAGATAAAAGAATTGTAAAAATTTCTACTAGATTAAATATAAAAAACAATCCGTGATTAAATTCTTAACTAACTTAAAAAAAATTGTAAGATCAATTCGAGAATTATTAATATTAATTGCGAGGACAATTATAAATATGTCGGAGTTTAAATAATGTACTATCATCAGAATTCCTAAATTTTCATCATAGCTTAAAGCAACTCGTTTTCAACGTGCTAAGTGAGATATTTTCCAAAACAAGACAATAATCTTTGAATAATTAAAATTAAATTATGAAAGATGAATCTCAATAAACAAATTAATGAATTCAAAGTATAAAACAAATGTTAAAAATTATTCGATATTGTAAAAATAAGCAACTTGTTATTTGTAAAAAATTGTGCCACGCGAATTAATTGTTGTATTGGAAAAACATTTGTTCCAACACATATTTTCTGATATATCTGACACGCTGTACATTGTACACAAATATTCAACACAAAAACATTAATTGTGGGTGAATTTTATAAACTTCAGTACAAAAATATCCATAAAATTCTCTTATGACAACTTTTGACTTTTACTCTACGTAAATCTTCAACACAATTTAAGTCTCTCTTGAAGACTCCCAAAGATTGAAGTTGGAAGTTCAATCTTCATAATCGAAGAATATTTAAATTCTTGAAAATTATGAGCCATGCAGAACTTTTGAAATCAAGTCATGTTTGTCTTATTGTAAAACTTAATAGATTAATCTCACGTCATTTCCATTATTCGTAGACATAATTAAACTTTATATCATCTCATCTCTCTACGTTTGATTTCATTCATATAACAATCAAGCTCATTAGCACCATTTTCGATGTCATCGTTATGTTTTAAGAACTCATCGTTGAAATCATTTCCAATAAAATTTAAATGCGATGTAACTAAGTTGTTTTCATTAGACGAACAGTGATCATGTGTACGTTTATTAATTGTAATCATTAAATCATCATTTATAAGATTGACACTCGCATTGCTTAAACGATGAATTCCTTTGTCACTTATGTGTGATCCAAAAGAAAGTCTGCGAGCTTTTGATGACTTTCGACGATTTGAGAGCTTCCAAAATTTCGTAAAAAACCATGATGAGCGTTTATGTCGTTTAACGACTTTAGATGAGTTTCCTATGGCAATATGAAGAATACTGTCACAACGTTTCAATGAAATGTGGGAAAAATGTCCCAAAGATGTTTTCCGACGACCTTCCGTCATTTCTTTTCCACTACTGATTGCTTTTAAATTTAGCTTTTCATGTACATCGATGTTGACATAATTCTGGCTCCTATCTAAGGACTTCTCATCAGATTGACATCCAAAGATATTTGGCGGCTCTTTAATATAAGTAGCAGAAGGCGGAAAAATATTCAAATGGATCTCATTTATATTGCATTCAGACGAGATGTTTATCTCAGAGTTTGTGATTTTAGTCGTGAGATATGTGTGACAATTTGTAGATTCAATACTTTCAGAAAAACGTGCATTGGAAGGTCCCATTGCGAACAATGATGGTGATTTAGCAAAAGTATCGAACGATTTGTTTATCTTATAATGCTTTAGCGACGTGTTACGTGATGTAGTTATAGTGTCGACTGATTGCTTTTGAGTAGAAGAAGAGTAGTCGTCTTTTCCTGATCCTAGCAAACGGAAGAAGAAAAAACATTCGAAATCAAAACCAGAACACAACATATCACGTTCTAATCAAACTTACCCGAGTATTCTGTGGATTCAGGCTGACCATAGCGTCTTTTTCCTCTCGATAGAATTCGGTATTGACGCTTTTGATGGTGGGTTTGCGGTGAAGAGCATGTGCAACATTTTTTCTGAAGTGTTTCCTAAAGAGAGACTGAAATTGAATTAGGCTGATAGAGATCAAAGCTTTTTGGTTGATGCACAGCAATCTAACTATTATTCTAGTATTATTGTGATTACTACATTTAAATTAAAAGAATTGACTGAAATTATTCAGAAAGTTTTCCCAACAATTAAAAAAAAAGGAACTTTTATTGTTTTTAAACAATTTAATATTTTTAATGATTGTCAACTGAACTTTGGACATCATTAAAGTAGTTTTAACAACTTTTATAACAAAATTAACATCGTTCTAAACAGATTTCATTCAAAACCTCATGAACAGTTTGTTGAAATATTTTCATAGCAATTCCTAGTGCAAAGTTGCTAGTTGGAAGTTTAAACTTTAAAGGATCAAATATTTAATTGAACAAAAGCTCAGTTCAGAAAGTCATTTCGAGGGAAATTGATTATTTAGTGCTTTCTTTGAATCAACATCATTTAAATAACTAATGTAGGTTGAAGAATAAATCTATGGCACTTGAGACCAGAAGCATCCACCTTTAACATCACAAGTCAACATTTGCAAGTCTAGACGGAATTATCGATCAAAAACTCTTTGATAAGTTATGCATTTAAGTCAAATATAAATCCTAAATTCTGGTTTTCTTAACAATTCATATTTTTTTTCAAAAGTTTATTCCAACATTTCAACAGAAACAAAAGTTCATTCATCATCCACATTCATCAATCATCTGTTTATATGTAATATATATATACAATGAAAATGGTTAAATAATTTCATGGAAAACTATTTCATTATGTTATTGTTGTTGTTGTTGTTCATGAAAGAAAATGTAATTTAATTAGACTTGTCAAAACTTCAACGAGTCTGTCTTCATGTGAAACTCACTTCTCATTAAATTTTAGTAATTTAACCACATTTCTAGCAGCTACTAAAATATTCAAATTTTATCTTCGCAGAATTTCATTATCAACATGCTAAACAAGTTTAAAATATTTTCTCAAGTGTTAACACGACTTTTCACTTATCTTTTCACATGAAGAATTAAAGTTTGATCATTTCCATTTTTATAGTTCTCAACAAATTAATTAGATAAATCAGTGAATATTAAACATTAATATACATTAAATATATTTAAGTTTAATTAGATAAATTAACTAATTATTATGTATAAAACATTGCGAATTTACTTTTGTAATACAAATCGTGATGGAAATTGTGAAAATTCATGAAATATCAAGATATAAGCGAAACAAAGAAAATGAAAACGTTTTAATAAACTAATGAAACTTACCTTGAATGCTTGACGAAACTTGTTGCTCATAATATTGTACAATAATGGATTAATACAAGTTGAAAGATAATATAAAATCCCCGATGAGTACGTCACAAAAAAATAAATCTTTGCTAAGAACTCGTGTTCGGCCGGGTTTTCATTTTGCATTGCCCAATTGTAGACTAATCTTTGAGCATGAAAAGGAAACCAACTGACAAAGAAGCAAATAACAACAGCAACTGTGAAAAGATGAAAAAGAAAATGAAAAGTTAAATCTCAAATCTTGTAAAGAATTTCTCGGTATTTAATTTTTCATTTCAAATCCTTTTAAATCCTCTTAAACACTTTGGCCTTGAACTTGAAGATACCTCAGGAGTAAATATTGAAAATTTACCTTGACTGTGAGTGTTATTGATGATGTTTACGAAATCTCTTTAAATCTAACATTAAAACACTTCCACGTAATTCAGTCATAATTTGCGAAAATTTTGAGTATCATTTTTGAGAAGAATAAACAAACAACAATATTTATTCCTCTCGTCGAATATTTATTTTCGAACTTAATTTTTTCAATGTTTATTTTAAAATTGATTTAATGAAAGACGATATCTAGAAGCCATATAATAATCCGTTTCGAAGTTTTAAAGTTAAAGTGTTATGAAATTGTTTTGGAAGGCGAAGATTATTTATTGTAACACTTGAAATTTTAGGCAATTGAAAGGCAAGCGGGGAACCAATTTTCACAGGAAAATAAACAAATCCCTTAAGAAATCCTTAAACGAAAGCGTTCAGGCCTTATAATCTCAACCCAACGCTTCTTCTTTTTAACAAGAATATGAATTCAAAGAAAGATAAAGTTTAGATTCATTTCAATTAGTCGAATAGACCCAAAAAATACTTGAAATTTGAGAGACTTACTGTGAAAGGTCTTTCATTAGGTTTTTTTACGAAGGATCGGTTAAAGAAATGAAAAGGTAGATAATTTTCCGCAAAATGTGTCACTGGAACTTGAATGAAGCGTTGGCGAGGTAAAGTCAATAAAAGATTTCAGAAAACTAATTATCTCAACTTTCTTTGTTAATTTTTGCTACAGATTTCGAGAGTAAATATTTGACAATTATTAAGATACAAAGGAATATTTAATCCCAGTAAAAATTATTAAAAGCAGTCAATTAGATATTGTCATGGCATTGATTTATTTGTTTCCATGAATGCCATCATAAATTTAAAGAGATCAACAAAAAGTTTAATTGAAAGACGAGATAAAATATCGAAGAATTGGGATGAGACTTCCCACCTTGTGAAAAGGAATTGTTATGACTTCCCTCCTGTTAAGATATTGATTTTCATTTCATAAATTCGCCTAATCTACCTTATAACGGCGAAAGTTTGTGGTGGCAGCTTAAAAGTGTAAAAAGGCACGCAAATAATTAACATTTTGATCGCTAAAAATAGGTTGAAGAAAGAAAAGTTTTTCCGTGGAATTCTTATGAAAGTCACTGTGAATAATTTTCAATCGTTATCACACTTTCAACTGTGGCAACAAGCCACAAGAAGAAAGTTTGTGAATGGAAAACATTTGTCACAATTTTAAAAGCAGATATTTTTTACAACACCTGAGACTTCGCTATCGTAGCAAAGGGACTTTGAAAAGACATCATGAAGACATGTTCAATGGTAACAAGCACGCACATTGTAAAAAAATCGAAAATAAGAAAACAACAATTTCCTTTCTGTCGACAAAAAATATTTGAATTAAGGATTATGCAAAGGAATAAAAAAGAAATTTAAGCAGTGTTCATAAATTCTCAGTACCCCAATTATTTGGTGACGTTTTAAAAAGCAAACAATTTCTTCCATTATTTATGTTTTACATCATTTGAAAAGACAAAGAAAATACTGAAAAGACGTGATCTGAATTTGTTGTGTTGGATAAATTTCTTTGAATTAAATGCAAAGAATTCAGATTGTTTCACTGTTTATTGCTGTGAATCTTCCCATAATTAATTAACCTTTTTTTGTTGTGGTTATCAGAATGGCTTCTTTTATTACGGTTTGGAATTATGCGACTTCTGTTTTTTGTTGTCTCTTTCTTCAAATGTAATTGATACAATAAAAAGGAGAAAAGGGGAGAAGAAAGGATGAAAAGGTTTTCTCCCATTTATTATTAATGCATCTTCAGTCAAGGAAGAAACGATAAAGTAATTTATCTTAACGTTACCTAGCATTTTAAGGACCCGTTTCGTGCTTTGGCTCGTATTCTGGTTGTTGTTTGATATAAGATTATTATTTCTTTGAATTGTACTGCCATTTTCTCGAGTTATCATCGTGCTTGATCGTAATTTCACTCCAATTAAGATATACAACACAGTAATCAGGGACATTGGTGCAAAAAAGAATAAAACTGTTGAGATGTAGAATGTGTGTGGTATAATTGCTCGTTCTTCAATCATCATGCAATGTGTTTCTCCAGTTTCAGGATAGACTTGTACACCTGTTTGAAGTGCTAGTAATGTTGCAAAGCTTATCGACAAAATCCAGATCAGGAAAATATATTTAACAGCACGCGACAACTTTGAAATCGTGTGCGATAGGAAAGGGTGGCATATTGCCACATAACGTTCAATAGTAAACGCCGTTACTGAAAAATGTACAAATATAAAAATCATTACAATCAAGGCTACCACTAATTACATTTTAAAACATTAATTGACTTATGCTATTATTAGAATTGTTAGTGATTTAGTAATGAAATTGAGCTTAATGGATGTTTCATGTCTTCTTTAATTTTTAATGCTGACAATTGGCTAACATTTGAAAAGTTTTCATAACTAAAAGCTTTTAAGATTTAGAAGTTAAATACTTTTGTCTATGTTAAATGTAGCGCAATCGGAGATATGCTTTGAGTCTGCTACGTCTCCGTGGTTTTCATCAAAAGGTGAGAATAAATATAAATTTAGATCTTGAAAGGAATGCAGACAATTGATTCTGAGACAATCAGCATTACCACTCTTGTTTCGTTGCAAACAATGATGAGGTTGAAAAGAAAATTAATGGAAATAATAAATTTTATTATTTATTATTCAATCAACAAACATAAAAGGATGGAATAAGGAAAATCATCACAGGAGTCGTGATGATTCTGCTTTATGCTGAGCATAAACACTTACACACGAAAGCTTTATAAATCAACTCTGACTGGTTTATAACATAAATCATGTCATAGACATGAGTATAAAGAAATAATAACTTTCGTCTTAAGAAATCATTTCATTCTGTGATAAAGTTGTCAGCAGAATGAATTCTCAAAATAAATATTAATATTAATATATTGAAGTTACTTACTTGTGAGAACTGTGGCATTCGCTGCCATTTCATTTATCATATTCCGAACTATACAAAAGACATCGCCGAATATAAATTGTCCTTTAAACCAGTAGAAGTAAAGCTCCATTGGGGCGCCTGAAACCAGGAGAATGAAATCTGACACAGCCAAACTGAATAAATAGTAATTCGTCGCTGAATACATTGACTTGTTTTTTGCTATCACAATGCATGTTGAAATATTTCCGATACAACCACTGATGAAAATTATCACATAAATCAATGTGATCGGGATCAACAGATAAAGTGAATCTCGTTTATTTGGTTCATTGTAACTGATTGAAAAGTTATCTTCATGAAATGTCTCATTGAAAGATGAATTGTCAGCAAGAATGAAAGATAAAAAAGTTATGTTTTGGGTTTCCATTCTGTCTTGTAAATATAATGTTTAATGTCACATATCACTTAGTTCCACATTACGATAGATATAAATTTTATAAGTAAATGTCTTTCACTTAACGCGGCATAATATTTCATTCGAAGCACTACGTTTTTCAACTCTCGTCTTCCTTCCTGTCCTGGAAACAAGAGAACAACAAAATAATAAATATCGGTGTTAAAACATGAGCCTTGCTTTAATAAAAAATAATAATTTTTAACTTAAACTTTCGCATCAGTCTCGTAAATCTCTACATTTTTGTCCCTTCGCTTTATAGCACGAACTTTTAGGTATTTGCGACACGTTCTAGAAGCTTTATTGAATGAAACAAGCTGTTATATGTGTCAATAAATTTATACTTTAGGAGCGTGGAGCTTCACTTGCTTCGCGATAAAATTTTGTTTCTGTTTACACTTTGAATGTTTCTTTTTAATATATATTTACTCAAGTGAATAAATTTCAACGAAATTCTGAGGATGATGAAACAAAAGACGAATATCTGTGTCTTGTTTGGGTGAAGACAATTGAAATGAGTTATACGAAGTTTAATTTAATTTTGACTTCAAAAATGTAGATAAAGGAAAATTTAAAAAGAATTTCAAGGAAATTACTTTCTATATGAAACTTTTTTAATTAACTAATTTGAAAGAAAGTGCCAACAGTCATTACGATCCTTAATATTTCTGATTCATTGAACAATTTTATATTAGTATTGAAGGTTGGTTCAGCATCATTTGATACACATTTTCCCTTAAAAATATCCTTTTAACACCGAATAACATTTTAATTAATACTTTCGACACTCGATTTGATATAAAATTATTAATGTTTGTTTATGATGTCGAAGCGATCTTTTAAACCATTTAAGATTCAATCAATTGAATATGATGAATTTGTATGTTACTTCCTTCTCATTTCATTTGATTTATGCATCGAAAATTTCAAAAGGCTTCCATAAAGTTCTTAAAGTATTAAAATTATTTATGCATGAAATGATGTTGTATGTCGATTGAAAAAGTTCAATATTTGTGAATGAATCTAAAAATATACTTTTGATGTACCAATTTGAATAAATTCCCTTGAACAAATTCTTGGAAACGAAACGCGGAAGTAGAATTATTTATTTATTTATGCACAGCAATGATTGTCGAATTAATTCTGAGTTTATTTAGTTCAGTTTATTTTACCCAGTTTTCAATATAAACGATTGCACATTATTATTCAAAGATATTTGATAACCTTGTTGATAGCAATTATTAAGATCATTTGACTGTTTATAAATTA